TCCCCGCCGGGGTCCCCGACGGGGACCCCGTTCCCCGACGAACACTAAGATGAACTACGAAAGCCGATAAAAATGGTTTGTAATCGCTGCGATCGAAGCAACCCATCAGTTCAAGCAAACAAAAAACGCAACTGTACAAACAACGAAACGAATTCAATTCTGAATCCATTCTCAAAACGGTCATGTCTACAACGTGAAAAATCCGCAATAACAATATCACATTAGCATCTAACGCTGGAAAACATTTTTGTTTGCTTTAGAAATATCATTCAAATGATCGTTCATCGACCAAAAAATAAGACGAATTAATTTACAATTCTTCAAAATTGTGCACGGCATCTTCGACAGACTCATGAAGTGCTTTCTTCAGAATCACACCAAATTTCCGCTCCAGATCGACCTTAAATTTATTTACATCGACACTTGTCCAAACATGATTTGCTGATCTATCTACAATGGCTGAGTTAATACCAGATGTTTCAAGGTGAATTTCCGACTTAAATTTTGAAGCTTCCATCTTCTGTTTGATGAATATTTTTTCGAAAATCAACCATTCAAGTGATTAATTGTTCTTAGAAAATATCACAAATTATGTAAAATATCGCCAATTTCAGGACATTTTAGGACTACTGGTGTAATGATGGTTAATTACAACGATCAATAGTAATATTGGTCGTTGTAAATAACCACCATTATACCAATAGTAATATGACAATTATAATTATTCCGAAGAAATGTTGCTATCAATATTATTATGCGCCAACAATATACAATAAATCCCTACATCGTTCTTCCATCGTTTTCGTGTGATTTGCTTTCGTTTCATTCTCGCTTGCTGCTGAGAGTCATCTTGCAGACCATACGATTGAAAATTCCTTACAGAATCCATCGATATCCTGCAGAGTGAGGAACGCAAACCAACGGAAACGTTTCGATTGAGAGCATATTGCAAGATCGTCGAATGGCGTATACACAGCCTATATGTAGAGGAAGACCACAAGTTCATGAATCTCCTACAATACAATAGGATATTTTGCTTTGATTTGATGCTTTTCTACATTTCAGCACTGAAACTGCTTCACAATCTGTCAAATCAACGATAGCGATAGACGTTTAGCGAATTTGTTTGTGTGATATTCGAAGAATATTTTCATTTATTGTCATATGCAACAATTTACTGGCGATTCATCACCAAATACTTCTTCACACATAATCTAACTATGATTATATTCACTTTTGCTGCAGAATATAATCTTAATCGAATTCTCTCCAAATGTAATTCCCCGCAACAATTGGATCGCTCCAGAAATCGAACAAGATTCAATAAACTTTTACGGGCGATTTGAACGCTTTGCAATGATTATAACTTAAAATTTTCCATGATATCAACAATACAGCGATGTCGTTCAGACTTCATACCGACAGGGATGTGCGCTCACAATGCTAACGATGCAGTGTAGATCGATCAGAAGATGAAACAGCACTCATTCATATTCAAATATTTATATGCAATTTTTGATACTCAGAGCAAAAACACAAATCAGTACGAAAAAACAATCTTAAAACTTTTATAGACAAACAACAACCGTTTGAAATTATCGAATGCCAATTATCAAATATTATTTACGAATTTTTCGATGAGCAACTATAATTCATTACACTAACAATAAAAAATAACGATTTCACGAAATAACGTAAAATATTTCAATAACAAATTATATTTTCTAATATCACTAAAAATTTACAATAACAATAAATAACAATAATCAATGAGTTCCTAATTACCGAACAACGTGCGCAATCCTCAGATGTGCGTGCACCTCAAACACAAAACAAATTCCACTATAATTTAACGCCTACAGTTCAGTATTTTTCTATCAAGTTTCTTTCTTTTACTCATTTCAGTCAACTAACTATCTTACACAGACAATCATCTCCTCAATAGCAGAAGAACAAGCCTATATACACAACCAACAAATCACTATCAATATGCGTTTTCATTCACGTATCTGCAAAAATCAATCAACTTTTCGATGATTATCCTTTGATTAAAATCAACCATGAAACTGTCCACTTCATGAATCGACATTCATCATTTCCGATCCATAACAATCACCGATTCAGAACTCCGATGTGTTGAGTTGATCACAGACATCCGATTAGTAGAAGGCACACTTGATTCATTCGTCGTTTAGACGATACACTTTCTTAAGCAGACAACGTTGGCGTGGGCAAAGATGAGGCCTAAAAAAATTTCACTACTTAATTCAGTTCTTCCGAATTCATGTGATAATGGATAGAGAACTCTACTCCTGCGTTCAGTCAAAAACGACAACCATGCGTGAGATTTTCACACAAATTCAACTGAATGAATGCAGATTCACGCCAACTGAATATAAGAAATCAAAAATCAACAATAAATCTTCCTCAACCACTCACCTTTTTTAGATTCTTTTCGATGCAGTTCCGAAGTTCTTCATTAACCGGAAAAGAAACACTTCGGATCTTATCTTGCACTCGATGAATGCTGTTCACGTCTCGTTCGGCACCTTAATTTACTCATTTACACCCCAAAACACTTCACACTCTAATCGCCACTGCAGCACACATGAAACTACATCAGAACACATCAAAAGTTTCGATGTTAAAACAAGAGAAAAAACTGCGAAGAAACCAACCGAAAAGAGGAATGAGTTTCAGGAGTAGATTATTCACATCGACCGTTGTCGCTTTTGTACCATCACTGAGATTCAAAAACAAATTCAACAGAACGTCAGCCTGAAGTGACGAAAAAAATTCAATTATTCGAACAAATGCAAAACGAAAATCTCTATTCTACTGGAATTCCCATGATTAACACATCTAATTTGCAATCAACATATTGACACACAACATATTTTGCAATTCAAAAAGTACAATAATAGCGGCGATTTAAAAAAATTAAA